AAGTGGGGTTACTTTTTTATCTTGCAAAATTGAAACTCAACCTGTTGAACAATCTCCATATTTTTCTTGCCACAGATCCTTGCTACCCTTATTCTGCTTTCATTCTCAAATTTGAACTTTATATATAAGTGGAATCAGACTGTTTAAAAAATTTATTTATTTTTTGTGGCTGGCTGATTTCACTAACCATAATGTACTAAGGTACATCCATGTTGTCGAATGTGTCAGAATTTCCTTCCTTTTTGGAGGCTGATGAATACATTTTGTGTACATGTTTAGTCCAACTGTACATCTGTTGAATTGCTTTCAAGTTGTAACTATTGTTAATAAAACTGCTATGAACGTACCTGTTCAGTACATATTGGGGGCCCTGCCTCCAGTTTGTTTGTGTGAATTGCAAATAATATGGGAATCCTACTTCTACATTTTGAGAAATTGTCCTACAGTTTTCCTTAACAGCTAGACCATTTAGACCCCTGCAAAGGATGCACAAAATTTCTAGTTCCTTCATATTCTTTCTAACATTTATTGTCTTATTTTTGATAGCTGCCATCCAAATGGATTTGCAGTGGCATCTTCTTGTGTGGGTTTGATTTGCACTTTCCTAACGAATTAGTGATGTTCTGCATCTTTTCATAGTCTTTTTGGTTAGTCATGTCTCTTTTTGGGAGAAATATCACTTCAAGTTCTTCATCACTTTTTTTTTCATAGTGGCATTAGCGATTAAACAAACCAGGACCTTCACACTAAGATACACAGCATCAGCCATTTTTGTTTTTTTTATTTTGAGGCAGGGTCTCACTAGATTGCTAAGTTGCTTAGTGCTCTGAGTTCACACTTTTTGATTCTCCTGCCTTAGAGTGGGCACCATACTCAGATTTTGCCCATTTTTAAACTGAGGTATTTGATTTTTTTTTTTCTGGTGCTGGGGATCTAACTTACAACCTTGCTCTTGCCAGGCAGACGCTTATGTCGCTGAGCTAAATCCTAGTCTGAGATACTTGATTTTTGTTGTTACTACTTTTTAAATATACATTCTGGAATTAATCTCTTAAAATATATGATTTGTAATAGTTTTCCTATTTGGCATGTTGCTTTTCACTCTAAATTATGTCCTTTGATGCACAGGAGCTTTAAATTTTGATGTTTTCTTCTAACCATCGTTATGATTTTAGGAATTGCCTTTTTCCATTTAAAAACTACCATTAGCTTAAGCAAAAATGAAAGAAAAAAAAGAATAAACCTACATGCCACAAAAAGCCCAACCCAAAGCCCAGAAGAACAACCATGAAACTACCTTTAGAGATGGAGAGAGAGGAAGGAGAGGGACCAAAATGGGCTGGAAAAAATAGAACTGAAGGGAAAAATGGTGAAAATAGAGCTTTTGCAAACAGGAAGGGATCCAAGAGTCTGAGGGAATGGGGGAGGGGGGGGGAGAGGGGCTAACAAAAGGAATCAAGATGTGCTATGTCTGTATACCAAGTGCCCGTGAGAACTGTGAGCATTATTACTGTGAATGTGTACTAATAAAAAAATTCTTTTTAAAAAAGCACCCATTGGTGTGAGCTTGCCATTCCTTTTCTCTGTCATTCCATGCTGATCACCGTGACTGACATTGGCATTTTTGAATCCTCAGTGTTGGGACTGATTTCCACACTATGAAAGGAATCCTAGTAACAGTTCAAGGTTGGGGGAAAAGAAAGAAAGAAAGCTAGAAAAGAAAAGCAGGACAGGGCTTGTCACTTCATTTGGAAAAATCAGAAGTGACAAGGGACAGCAGAGGCAGCAGTCACAGAGTCGATTCACACTGTAGCATTCTGCAGTCAGTTCTTCCTTCCAGAGTCCTGGTGTGAACGCTGCTGTTATTCCCACTTTGCAGATAAGAAAACTGGCATGCCTGCAAACACCACAAACATCTTGTTGTTCTTTGTCAGACATCCACAAAGCTATTTTTAAATTCTAGACCACGACTGGATTGCCTCTGACCTCATTCCTTTCATTTCACTCTGTCCTGTCGCATAAGACTGATAGCCTCTTAGGCAACACGGGCAGACATTGTGCTGGGCATTTTGCATGTGTTGTTTCGTTAATCCATTCCTCCCTGTACAATGCAGACTGAGGATCAGAGAAGTTAAAAATTTTTGCCTAGGGTCATAGTTCCAGACAGAAAGAGGGTAAAATGTTTGCCAAGTCCGTCTGGTTCCAGAGCTTCTCCAGTATGAAAGTGTGGAAGCTGGACCCTCCCTACAGGCTCCTGTGTGGAAGACCTGGTTCCACCTTGATGGCGCTGTTCCGATGTGGGGGAACTTGTAGGGGCTTGCGCCTATGGTGGAAATACCTCACTGTGGAGTCCTCTTTTAGAAAGGGGTATCTGAGCTTCTCCACTGTCTGCTTTGGGCCATCATGAAATGAGCAATGGTGTTCTCACTATGACATTTTGCCAAAGCAAGGGGCCAAGCACTTGTGGACTAAAACCATGGAACCCATGGGCCAAAATCTATCTTTCTTCTTTAAGTAATTTTCTCTGGTACTTTGTCACAGTGGTAAAAAGAGGGCTCACATACTCACCTCAAGTTTTGTTCAGGCAATCCAGACCTTCTTAGCTTAAGCTACACTCTGGATGGTCTCTATTATAAATTAATTGAAAAATTCTTGTTATTAACTCCTTATTTTGCTTAGGCCCCAAGTTCTCTTGCATTTAGAGTGTTATAGATGAAACAGATGATTTCAAATCTTGCTCTGAAGCTCACTAGCTTTGGGACTTTTAAGAGTCATTAACTCAGTCCCAATTTCCTCCTCTGAAAACTAGACATTGCATTATTTACCTCCTGTGGTTGACTTGAATATTAACTGACATAATGTCTGCAGACAGCCTAGCACACTGTCAGCACCAAATAGATATCAGCTATGATTAATTTTACAAACAGACTTGATCATAATGCGTATACCATAGTGGCTGTATACTCTTACTATAGTTTTCCACAATTTGTCCCTCCTAAACATCATACTTAAGAACAGATTAATGGAAATTTTCAATGGAAAAATTAACTACAGACAGATTTAGTACCAGTTAGAACTTGATGTGGCTGCATTTTATAGAAAAATCACAATAACGTTGTATTAAACATACAGGGTTTATTCTCATACCTAGAAGTCCAGAAGGGAGCAGTACAGAACTTGTGCAGCAGTACCATGAAGTCTTTCAGATCCATATTCTACCTTTTCTGGCCTACCATCACCGGAGCATAGACACCATCTTCAAAAGAAACCTACTGGTCCAAAATGGCTGCTGGAGATCCAGCCATCATGTTCATACTTCAGATAGCAGAAAGGAGAAACAATATAGGGCAGAAAGGACACAGTTCCACAGTTAAGGAGATTTTTTTCTGGGAATCTCATTTATGTTTCCACTTATATTTCTTTAGGCAGATTTTAGTCACCGGACTCACTTTGCCTAGCAACAAGATGGGCTGGGAAATGTTTTTTAAAGGTTATTTTTATTTAACCATATTTAGAATTATTTTACTGAAGAAGATGAAGAAAAAAAGAATGATAATTTGCAGTCTCTGCCTCAGACAAAAAAAGTTGGTGCTGATTGGTATTTTAGCATAGCTTTGTTAGTTAGTTTCTGGGTTACTTCTGAGACTGGACAGGGTTTTGTGAATGAGAAACCCACATGTATCTGCTTGTATCTTTAAATAGTTGGAGTGGCATGGGAGGCTTCCACTATCTTCACTGCCCTGCAAGCTACTGTTAGAGAGGAAAAGCAATTTTAGTGCAGCCAGAACAAGATGGAAGGAAGAAACCCTACGAATAGCAGCACAGGTTATGCCTCCAAGTGTGAGAAACAGACACATAAACTAACAAACATGAACTGTGTGTGTCCCTGCATCCAGCATACCTCGGTTTTTTCAGACATGGTTCCATCTTCACATTCTCTACCCTAAAAGCCTTGTAAGGACATTTCTGCTTCTGGGTCTCTGGTGCTCCTTGTGCTGCCAAAGGATGGATCATCTCACTTGCATGTTCCTCTGGCCTGTGCACTAGCAGATAGAACATAAATGTCGGTTGATGAGAATTGTTATTCACCATGCAACACAACTGAGTTCAAAAAACACTAGTTCTCACTGTAAAACCCACATCAGAATCTGGCTGGTGAGGTCACCTGATAATGAGGTTGAGTTTTATGTTTTTGTTTTTCTTCACTGGCTAAAATCCTTGGAGGGAACCAAGAAGGAGCAGGTGGAAAAGCCACGTTCACCCTGCCCGTCACGAGCTGCCTGTGGTGGCCCTGGACACCTAGTAATTGGGCCCCATGAGCATTTTCTCGTCATGTGGGCTTCAGCAATATTTTTCAGGGCTGGAATGTACAGGGTTGGAGAACCAGCTTCGTAGGCAGTGAAGCAGAAGCAGATGTGTAAGTTTCTTTTTTAATTATTAAACTTGGTCTTGTTACATGATGCTAATGTTATAATAAAAATATTTAGAAATAAAGAGTGTGTTGTTACCTAAACACACATAGCCATATACACATAACTGTAGCATATATTTTATGGGCAGCAGCCTCAGACAACTCCTTTTCACTCACTGCGGCCCAGGATGGACACTCATACCCTAGCTGTTAAAGTCCTTTCTGAGATTTGAGGACTCCTCCCACCAGTGGGTCCACCCTTGGGGAAGCTGGCCTTCCAGACAGGCCTGACTGTCCCATCCTCTCCTTCCTGGGTGGTCCCTGGCCATTGGTCCCCAAGGGGCAGGCACTCCTTCTCTTGCTCAGGGTGGCCCTTCATTCTGGCAGATGCTTTCACCCTTTTAGTCAAGAGCCCTGACACAGCACAAGAAGCCACCATGAAGGCGGTCCCTATGAAATCTTGCATTTTGTGTTCCTTTTCACTGGCTGTCATTTCCTGTGTCACCTCCTTGGAGGGCAACTTTCCTGCTTTCTTCCAACCAGTACCATGTTTTCTCTGTCACCGTCTGACCTTTTCTTTTTGTCACAGGTCCCTGAGATGAGAAGAGAGTCAGGACCATGGAGAAATGTTCCCGGGAGTCCCAGCATCAGATCACTTGGCACAACACTGAAGGGATGCACAACACTGAAGCGTTCTGAGGCCTGCCTGCCAGGATCCCTGATCACTGCTTCTGTGGGAAAGGCATTCGCCGTGGTTCACCCTCATGGACATCTTTTCACACGTGAACTCTATAGGGTTCAAAAGTCTACAGTGGCCTGTGTGCCTGGAATACCATGTTGTCAGGAAGATCGTACCATAATCTAGATAGAAAGACTTGCTCCCATGGACATGAGCTCTGTGGCTCATTTCTAAGGTTTTTGTGGTGTGAAGCACTGTGTCAAACCCTGGCTATGCTTCAGAGACATCTGGAAACTTATTAAAAATGTGGGACTGGGTTTCATTCTGGGTATGGTCTGACTCAGAGGGACTGGAGTGGGGGACAGACATTTGTACTTCGGAGAGGCCTGAATGCATGGTTTGGAGGTAATCTATGATTATTTGATATCTGCACATGAAGACTTTGCATGAACTGAGGTGTGCACCTATTGCTTGGCATTACAGAAATGCGCTGGCTCTGGACTAGAGGATCACGTCCAAGTCCTGGTGCAACTGAAGCGCACAGAGTGTACTTGGTCTATATGGAGAACTAAAGGTCTTGGAGATGTTACTCTTTTCAATGAATTTAGATTACACAGGGCATGAGGTCACTTCCCAAAACAAGAGAGGCAAATGAGGTAAACTGGACTGGGGAGTAAGCAAAAATTTTTTGAGGTAGCTTGGGAAATTTGGAGCTTGAGAATCTCTGTGGGCTGTGGGAAGATTTTAGGAAGTTGAGTAAAAGCAGTCTCTGTATTTTTGTGATATAGTTGCCCTTTTTTTTTTTTTTTTTTTTTTTTTTTTTTTTGTCTTTTTCCTTTTTATCGGTACCGGAGATCGAACTCACGACTGCCTGCTTGCAAGGCAGGCGCTTATGCCGCTGAGCTAAATCCCCAACCCCCTAGTTGCCCTTTTTGTTACAGCATCTACAACTTCACTGAAGACCTACAGAAGTTCTCAATGTTGTTGGGTGTGAATTTCTGTTCATTTTGGATGAGATGCTTTACTGAAAGACAGCCCAGTGTTATTCAGATTACTCATGTAAAAATACTGCCCTTGCAAGATTGTTAATTTAAAAATACCTGTTAAATTGTATATAGTCAAAAAGAAATAGCAGTGATCATTAGGTTAGTCTATTTATTACATGTTGTATATTGTACCATATGGTCTGTCTGTGTTCACAATACTGAAAGTGAAAAATGGACTCACAGTTTCTGTGCTCCAGAAAGTCTTTATGTACAATTCAGACATTGCCAGGAAGCTGACTGTATACATTTTCAATAGAAGTCTATGATGATTAAAGCCATTTATTCATTTATTTATTTGGTACCTGGGATCAAACTCATGACCTCACACTTGCCAGGCAGGCATTGTGCTACTGAGCTATATCCCTGACTGGAACCTCATATTTAAGAACCTGGCCAGATTCAAGTATCTGAGCTTGATGAGCCCTTCAAGAGCATCTATCTCATTTTCTATATTCTTCTGTTGAAGTACTGAGGCCCACCAGGGGAAAAAATTTAGCACTGTTGATGAAATGTCACCATTAAAGTATTTGATGATGTGGTCACTATCTATAGGTCACTGCTAGAAATTATTACAACGTAAATCCTTCTTAATAGATCAAGCGTAAGCTGTCACTGCTGAAGTTTGCATAAGGATCATCTGGTTCAAATTGCTTATTTGACTAATGAGGCACCTGGAGTATGTTTTATGTTGTTTACTGCTGAGTCATGGCTTACAAGTGACTGCATTAGGCAAGATTTGGGATGGCGGTTTAGAAAACAATAGAACAGCAACTTTGTATTTTTTTTTTCCCAGAACAGTATTTATAAACTGCTGCTCAAATATATTCTTGCCACTTAAAAAAAATTTTGGCCAAGTATCTCCAATTCAGGTGGAATAAATGAAGGTGAGCAATGCACAGACATAAGATGTGTAAGTATGAAGTATGCTGCAGATAAGATTCTTTTCTAGAAAGTTAGTAGGTATGTAAGCAGACATGTGTCCCTGTAAGAGAACAAAGAAGTCAACCCCTTCCTGTGAGCCAGCTGGTACGCAGATTGGGAGACAGGAAGTGTCAAGTGCACCCCTCCCTGCATAAGCCACTGTCTGATTTGGAGAAATGTAGCCTGAGATGATAGCTACTCAAGTAAAAATTAAAAAAAAACCCAACTTGATATCTGTGTTGATTGACTTTGCAGACCTAAAGACGGCTGAGCACCTATTTAGAGGATAACGATATGCAGAGTACCAACTATGGGAGATGTCTTTCTGAAGGTGATAGCCATTGTTAATTCCCTATTATCTTATTTTAAAGTCCTGTATCATTTTCATTGTTTTTATTCTGTTTTTTTTCTTTGATTTTATTATATCTGATGGCATGGGCATCTATTTTGAAGATAGCAAGATATATTATGGTAGCCATTGTTAATTTCCTATTACCTTGTTTTGAAGCTCTATATTGCTTTCATTGTTTTGTTTTGATTGGTTTTATTCTGTTTGATTTTATTCTCTTTAAAATTAAAAAAAATAGTTATGCAAGCAGGCTTTAGAGGCAGACATGCTAGGTTTGAGTCTCAGATCCAGCATTTAAGAACTGTTCTTTACATTTTTCCATCTATAAAATATGAATAATAATAGCACTGATCTCATAATTGTGAGGCTATTTGATTTTTTTTCAATTAGTGAGGTAGGAAATATTGTGTAATTATTAATTACTTATAGCAGGGTCAAGCACATAAGAAGCACTCAATAAATGTTAACTGTTACTATTTTGGAAAACTTGGTGCTGGAAATTAAAGCTCTGCTTCTTGTTATTCAAGTCAGAACTGCATTAGACAATTTCCTACTCCCTGCTGTATTTTCTAAATGTAAAGCACAGTGTCTGATATAGCTGGGTTCCCTCCTTGGGTGGTTTCTCTGTTTTTGCCTACGAATTGTAGGCTGTGCTTTGCTGGTGCTTCTTTCTAATTTTCAGACTGCTTCAGAGTGAATCCTATTTAATCAGCTTACACAGGCTCAGAATCCATTTATTTGATCTCAAATTGGATGTTTGCCTCTCAGGTCCAAACCAAAACAACAATGCAATTTACCTTATCTGCTTTACATTTCTGGCTTCCAGGGAGCAGACTTGGCAAGTACTTCATCTCCCTGGACACTGGGGCACACAGCCCAATGAGCTTTCTCTGCTGGCCTCAGGAAACTGACCTGGTCTGGAAAATTTGGAAAATTTCAGAAGACTAACAAAGCCATTGCCTCCATTCAGTCCATGGTATTGATGGGAGGGTGTGTTTACTTGAAATCCAATCATGGCATTATAGATGTATCTGACAGGAGGTCAGGCTGTTGGCAGGAGGAAAGGCCATCACCAAAAAGGTCCATTCAAGGCCTTTTGCCACAGTACCCTTGACAAGCTTTGGCAAAATCTGTTGTCTGTATTTTACTGTGACCCTTGTGTTTATTCCTTAAAGTTTCCTTGAGAGTTCTATAAATAAATAATATAATCCTGTGATGGACTCAGTGCTTAGAAATGATAGTCCGAAATCGATGCTTCCTGCAGTGTTTCAGAAGAGAACTGGAACCCTCTGGGTTTCCCAGTATTGAGGCTGGGTTGGGAAAGAGAACACTTGTTTTTCTTCACATAAATAAAAATAAAACCAATCAAAACAGAATAAAACCAATCAAAGCAAAACAGTTGAATATTCTGCTGTCAACTATGCTGGGTCTTCCCTGCAGGCTTTTTTTTTGTTTGTTTGTTTTCTTTTTGTTTTTTGACCTTGAGAAAAGTCACTCACCCTATAGTTTTGGTTGATCTCGGAGACTGGAGAAACCCAGAAAATGCCTTTTCTTGTCTAGTATATTCTTCCTTGATTTTTCCTCTCTTTTCTTATTTTTTATTGCACAGATCTTTCCCCAACTCTTTCTCTACTAATTGTAATATAGGGATTATGTTTCTATTCTCTTGATGGTTACTCAAAAATATTAAATAAAAATATTAATCTGGCATTTCTATCCTTTGTAGCAAGAGTTCGTCCTCTGAGGTAATTCATCTTCTCATCGTTGGTCTCAGTATTTTGCCTGGGTATTTTCCTCATATGTTTTGAGCTTTCTGCAGGTTCAGGTTAAGTGAGAGTTCCTTTTTCTCCAGTGACCCCATTTCCCTATCCATCAGCCATCCTGTCCTGTCCTGACCATCAGAGTCCACCCAGTGTGAGGGGCTCAGGCTGCATCCCTGAAGAACATCAAGGGCATCACGGATATAGTCATCAAGCCAGCAGATGGCTGGAGCCTTTGTTGGGGTGACACAGATTCCTTTAGACCTGCTAATCACTGCATTTCAGGTAAGCCCTGATCCATGTAGTAGTTTGGTGTAACTTTGCTTAGCTCCCTTTCTGGGGTGGTAGCACCTGGATTGAAGAAGTGATGGAGGTTCTGTTTAGAAGAGGACACTGGGGATATCTCTGCCTCTTTTCTGATCCCTTTTGGCTTGTTTTACTGTCTCAGATTTCTTTTCTGTCTTTTTCACATGGGGTTATTCATCTTATGAGAGTGGATTTATGACACACAGATTCTATCTCACTTTTTGTACCTCAGTCATTACTTGTACTTGGTGGCAATGATCATGCTAAAAATGTAATCCTACTGTGTCATACTTAATGGAAGTCTTTTAATTTTTACTTTTGTTTTAGTATTGTTATTATTAGTGCAGTGCTGAAGATTGAACCCAGGGCTTTCACACTAAGCTACATTCCTGGTTCTTCAAAATTTTTTTTAAAAAATTTGAGATAGGGCCTGGGAATTTAGCTCAGCGGCATAAGCACCTGCCTTGTAAGTATGCAGTCATGAGTTCCATCCCCGGTACCAATAAAAATGAAAAAGACAAAAAAAAATTTGAGGTAGGTTGTTAACTTGCCCAGGTTGGTCGTGAATTTATGATCCTCCTACTTTTGCCTCCAGAGTGTCTCCCACCATGTTGGGCAATTCCTTGATGTTTACTAGAAGAGTACTAGAAAGCACCAGCCTCACTGAAAGAAGTAGGCACTGATCTAATTGTCAGAACTGGGCACTCTCTGTGGTTTTTGGGAAACCAATTTCCTCTTTTCCCTCTACCCCTCAGATTCCATCTTTTCAGGAATTTCTCCTCTTTACCTCTTGCCTCAGGAGGGCTTCATGGAGGTGGTGACTGTGAGCCTGATCCACGGAGAACCGAAGGAACTCCCTTTGGTGAAGAGGGGCCAAACACTGCAGGGGAGTATGGAGTCATCCAGTGTCATGCAGAGGCGCCTAGTGAGCCAGACCACTTTCAGGCCTGTGCCATGCCTGGGAGTGAGTGGTCACCTTAGAGAGATCCAGTGTGAGTTGACAGGAGAAAGTCCTTGGCAGGAGCCAGGGGGTGGGCAGTGGGATGCCTGGAGTCAGAGCATCTACTTTCTGATGAAGCAGCATTGAAGAGAAGGTGCCTTTCACCATGGCTCTGAGAAACCTTGTGCAGATGGCTATGCTGGCTTCTTCTATCTCTGCTCCTGCAAACAGCTATTGTGCCTCCTCTACCACTGATTCTCTAAGCTTACCTCTGTACTTTGAGTCTTTTTCTTACAGGACCCGAACTAATACACTCCTCATGATCATTTTGAATGAGGGAGAGTCAGAAGCTGCTCCTGGTCTGGAAAATACAGTAGATGAAGACACATCACACTGATTTCAACTGATTTCCTGAGCCTCCTTATTGGAGGATAGCGTTCACCATGGTCATGATCTCACCTCCTAAGACACTCATGAAAGAGGACTTCCAGAGCTGCTTCAGAAAGAGGCACGGACAACAGGACATGTGTGCCAAAGCAAGGGGGAGCGTCTGGAGGGGGACTCGTGACAATAAGTCTTTGAGTGTGAGAAATTTTAAAAGTTTAATCACTGTCTATTTTGACCACTCTTTGTGTCAGCAAAAATTGGGGCATTTAAGGGCATTCTAGCATTCACATTTCTAAACTGCACACGGCAGATATTTCCTGCTTGCTTATCTGTGTTCATTAAACTAGAGATGCTGCTGAGGAGATGTGATGGCTGAGTGGGGTGCTGTTGTGGGTTGGGGGAATGATGGTGGCTGGTTTGCATTTGAGAAAGACTTCTCTGCCACTCTGTGGTTTGAAGATGGGCAAAAATAGAGGAAAAACAAGTCTCTTTTCTCACTCCCCATAGGCATCTTAAGACAGTGCCAGGCAAATAGTTGTGTTACTAATTTTTTAACAGACACGATGCTGATCTTGCCCCTGCCTCCTCCCTGGCGTGGGAAATGAACTGACAGCACACAAAAAAGTTGGCTCAGATGGCTCTGTGGGAATAGCAGTGGTCAGGGGATGGATAGGATGTTCCTCAGGGACACTTTACTACACTGGAAACAGCTAAGGTCTTCATCTATCGCACCTGCTGTCTACAGCTAGAAAGTGCTACAGGCAGAAAGTTAAGAGAAACTTTTAGGAACCAACAAATACTGGGTGTGAACCACAGGCAGCTCCAGACATGCAGTTAGGGGTTAACTGGTGCCACTGTGGGGAGCTCTGGACAGTGAATCTGACTTGGAGAGAAGAGGCATTTTATTTTCTTCAAACTCTTACACCCCCTAATAGGCATGGTAGTATCACGAAGATGTGTATAGGCATGAGTAGTGTAGGGACTGAAGAGCTGAGTCACTGATGCTTAGGAGGGATGCAGAAAATACACATTGAGAAATACACATTGAGAGTTCCAGCTGCAAGTCTCCCCTGTCTACTTAAAGGTGATAATGTGCTCACTGGGAATCTAGTTCTGGTTTATGCAGTGTCATTTAATCTGGCATTCTCTTACAAAGGGTCGAGGTGTACATGTTCTTCCCATACATACATCTATTACATTCTATATGTTGTGATTCACTCAGTGTGTGAATACCCTTGAAGTGGTACTGACAATGATCCAGTTACAGAAGAAGAAATGAAAACTTTAAAAATCAAACAACTCAGCCAGGCATGAAGGCACACATCTTTAATCTCACTACTCTAGGAGCTTGAGGCCTGCAAGTTCAAGGCTAGAATGGGCAATTTAGAAGCTCTTATGGCAAAATTAAAAAAATAACAAAGATTGGCTATGTAACTCAGTGTGAAGACTCTGGGTTCAGTTCTAGTACAAAAAAAAAGTGAAGTAACTCAAGGGAATATAGCTAGTAAATGTGGGACCAAACTTGTTGATTCAAAGAATTCTGACAAAGCCCATACTCCCTTTTAAATAAGCAGAGCTTCCACCACACTATGGACACTGTTTCCTGGATGGTAGGGATTTCAAAATGGCAGTCCATACAACCCTGTTCTCAAATAACCCAAAAGGATCTAATGGAATGATAAAGACATCACAAGCCAAATGAAATTAGAACACAATACAGAAGGATAAGAGATAGAGCCAAGTAAAGGATAGTCAAGAAGTTTAAGAATGGAATCACAGACTCTGGGGTGATCCAGGAGAAGGACTCCCATGAAACATTGGGAAACCTAGGTAGGTACTCTAGGGAGAAAGATGGCTGATAATGGTGGATGTGGGTTTGTGTAACTGAGAGCAAGGCAGTTTGACTAAAACTCATGGGGGAGTAATAACGAAAAATGTTGGATTTAAAAATGTGAATTAGGGGAGAAAGACTCAAAATCTGTATTGTCTTGTAAGTTTATTTGAAGTCAGGGGAATGAACTCTTCTGGGTATGAGAATCATATAAGCTGTGGTTGAAAAATACAGTGTTTTAAATTTTAAATTAATTAAAGTAAAAAACACACTGCCATTAGTGCCCTTCAAACACTCCCTGCCTCCACACACACTTTGAACAAATCCACTCCATCATTCTTGCCACTTTCTGAAGTCCTCTTTTGGGAGTAGCTTTAGTTGTGTTCTCATGGCTGCCCCAATGTCCTGAATCAATTCAATACACTTACATTTTATGGTTATCTTGACTTTTGGAAACAGCCAGAAGTTTTCTGGTGCCAGATCTGGTAAATAAGGTAGATGAGGACACACAATAATGTTTTTACCAGTCTGTCTTTCCACTGGCTAGCCCATGGCAGCAGAATTCACCACATTTTTACCCAGATCTTGTAAGAACACTTTTAAAAGAGAATTTTCAGAACTGCTTCTGAAAGTGGAAAGAACAATGTGATAAATGTATTTGGAGCAAGGGGGGATTAAAAGCTATGTGTTTTTTTCTGTAATGCATTTTAAAAATTTAAACATTTACCATAGCTTTCAAGTGTCTTGTATTTTGTTGTTGTTGTTGTTTGCTTTGTTTTTTGTTTTTGAGGGAAGTTCTTAATATGAGGTTCAGACTGGCTTTGAATCCACTACAGAGTCCAGGTTGGCCTCGAACTCACGTGATCCTCCTTCCTCAGCTGCTGGAATTATAGGCATATGCTACTGTGCCCAGCGGCATTGTTGTAGGGCTCCTGGCATCCATGTGCCAGCAGATTGCAGGGCAAGACCCTTGAAAACCAGCAGGGA